GCTTTAGGTTCACTAACTTTAGATGAGGAAACAACGAAGGCAGCTTCAGATAAAACGGCTGAAGCCGCATCGGTTCTGGACAATCCTGCGGGTATGAGTCAAGAAACTGAAGTATTGCCTGTTTTGGCTGAAGGACAAATTAATGATGGAGCTTCAGCTTCAAGTTCTGAATCGATGGAAAGTCTGGTGAGTAGTAGTGTTTAATTTGCCTATCATTTTAACCAAAACTGCGATAAGCCGATTATAGCAGCCAGTTTGATCCTGGAAGCCTAAATGGCGAAGGCGCGATAAAATATAGAAAGAAAGAACAGTGTGAGAAAAAAGGGCAAGAGGACGACACGACATTTCGGTCCATTAAATCATATTCGTCTTAACTCAGCACCGCAACAGGACCCCATTTGACAGTCGTAGTGCTTAATGGAAAATGAAGAGAAAAAAGAAAGACGAAAAGAAAGAAGGGGGAAACGCTATGATTGTGGAATTGGCGGGGTGAGAATGGGGTGAAGAGAGAAAGGAAAAGGAAGAAGGATTTTAAAAAGAGATTTAAAAAAGTGGTTAAAAAAGATTTTGAAAAGATCAGTAGCGAACTTCGATTATGGAGGATTGCTGAAGCAATTATTTGTAGAGCCATCGTCGCAACAGATTTTTTGGAGCCAAATAGGTTGCAGCTTCCAGGTAAATCCTGGAAGGGAAGACGATGGAGTGCGCAAAAGCAAGGAAGGGTAGTGAAGGTTGGAGGTAAGAGTGAGTTAAGACATTTCGGTCCATTAAGTCATATATGTCTTAACTCCACACTGCGACTGGACCTCGTCAGTATGACGGCCGCAGTGCGTAAGGAAGAAGAAATAAGAGGACGAAGACGGGAAGAGAGTAGGGAAAGACGATTAAGCAGATAGAAGAGGCAGAAAGGGGAAAAGATGGGAAGGGAGGAGGGGACAGGTGGGAGGAGATGCTAAAGACATGAGTAAAAATTTTTTTATTTTTTTATGAAAAGGATTTGAACAGATTTAAAAGAAATGGTAGCAAACCTTGATGGAGGAGGTTTTGCCGTTGACGCTGTCATCGCTGCCGTGTTTGTTGCGTTTGTTAGAGGCCGTATCTGGAATTGGAAACAGATATGTGAGATACGAAGAGAAAAGCGAGCAAATAACGTGACGTGGCATACTTAACAACAACGAAGAGTATTCATGCGAGCATGTTGCGTATCAAACGGCGACATTGCGGTCCAAATTCATAAAATCAAAGTGTAAAGGAAAATAATGAAGCGAAAGTAGAAATGCGAATACGAGGGATATGCATATCGAGATAAAACGTGTACTACATTGAGAGAAGTGGTAGGGAACGCTAAAGTAGGGATTGGAATTATATTTCTTTTTTTTTTCAACAATAATAAATTCTCTTATTTAGTTGGAGCACTGCTTCTTGGCTGCTTTAAAGCATCGCGTTACAAAAAAGGGACAGTTGCCACTGGATATTGGCGAATTCTATTCACGTTACCTACTTCCCTGTGTTCCGTCTGATCGGCATATTGATATGAAGAAAACAATTTATAAGAAATTTGTCGTATTTCTGGAGAGGATAAACGAAAATGAAAGTGGGCCAATTGTGAAAATCGCCATGAAACAGAAGGGATCAGAAGTGATCACTGAGGTCTGTGTTCTTATAATTTTTTAATTTTTTTCAAATCGGCAAAGGAATTACCAGTCTATCGAAGATTCGTTGATTTTTTTTTGAGCTGATGGGTACTGGCACATGTCTGGAGGTCAAAAGCATTCCGATTTATGAAGAGGGAGCGGTTGAAAGCTTTGACATCTGGTGGGTGTTGTTGGAAAATTGTTTTGGAAATACGGCCATTTTGCATAAAAAGTAAAAGAAGACGAGCATTCTGAATGCTTTGATATGATTAATACAGTCCAGTTACACAGTCCAGTTGCATGGGAGGGCTAGCAACACGTTCTTAACGGCCAGCAAAACACCGACGTTGACTTTCTGGATAAATAAACACAGGCTGGAACACATCAGGTGGGCCGGTGCGATCAGGCATTTTTGCACTGTTTCGTGTTGCAGCAAGATGGCAATGAATCACATAGCTAGGATTGGTGACCTACTGGCCCTCGAAGTTCAGGAAGTTAATTGTACAACTTTGTGGCATTTCAGTTTTAGATCTTGGCTTCAATAACCCGACAAGTGGAAAGTTATTGTTGCACGAAAAAGACCCCATTACAAGAGTTGAATTTGAAATCTTTTAGTCGCACATGGATAGGGAACATGCCTTTGTTAGCTTTTCTCGTCCTCGAGTTAGCAGTTTTCCTGCCTTGAGTTAATTTTTTGTCTTCTATCATGATCATTTTGTAAGCCAGAAGTTTACTTATTTGGACTTTGATTAGTTGTC